AATGGTGGGGTTCTCTGGCAGGGGCTCTCAATCCAGAGAGATCCAGAATCTCACAACCATCAGGACATCCTTGCTTTCTCCATCCTTGTGCCATGCAGAGCCTGGGGCAGTTTGGGCGCAGTTCTGCTGCAGAAGGGGCTGGAGGCAGAAGGCTCCAGAGAGCAGCACTGACCTGGGTGTGCCTGATGCCATCCACATTCCCTCTGGACACCTCCAGAGCCCCCGACCCCAGCAGCGGTGAGCCCTTGTAAGAAGTCCTGATCCATGGGGAAAAAACACCCGATCTGGCAAACACACGGGATTATGGTGCTGATTTCCCCATTCCAGGAGCATTGCAACACTAATCCTGTAATTCAGTGCAAAGTGGTGCAAAACATGATCGCTTCAATGTCTTGGTTCTTGCCTGAGATTTCATGGGGTTGCTCTTCTGGCACCACAGGAAAGAAAGTGCTGGAGGAAAACTTTTCCAGACCCCTATCCTCTTGTTCCTTGCTCGGAAAGACATGTGCAAAAATGTATTATAAATATGGCTTTCATTCCACGCTGAGCCCCTTCCGAGTGAGGAGCTGGCAGCCAGGGGTCATGTGGTGAGTGGGTGATGGGACAGACGTTATTTATAACAGGTGTCAGGCGATACTTTGTCATCGATATCTTACCCAGCAGCGGCAGCAGCAGCAGAAGTGAGGGGGTCTCTCCGTACTCCAATCTCTGTTTTCCAGGAGTGGGTTTGGTAACAGCATGCACCTAACCTGACGTCCTTGTTGCACATGGAAATTTCACTCACTTATTTCAGCTGACTGGCAAGACCTGGTTCTCTCTGTACCACTCTGCATCCCAAATCATGCTAATCACTCATCTCTGTGCCACTTGATGCCCGTGATCAGGGCTACATCCAAGGACAGGATTTTCTCCTGCACAAATCTTTGCATACACACATGGCTGCATCACACTCTGTCCAGGATCTGGAGGTCCCCATGGCCTCTCCTTGCCCACACATTGTTGTATGCAGGCAGATGCTCACCACCATCACCAGGACTCTTCCCAGGCAAATGGGTAATGGGCTGGAAAGCCACAGCCAGGTCCTGTGCTTATTATCTCCATCTTTGTCTTCCGCATGCACCTCCCACTATCTACACAGGAAGAAGTTTTGGCAGATGTAATAAAGACAAGGTGAAGTTTTACATAAAATATTCTCTCCTGCTATGAGTCCTGAGGAATTTTAATCAGTCCAGGAGTACCAGCAGAATTCCTTTGCCTGCAATCTTTTCATGATCTTGCTTTCCCCTCTTGTTCCTCGTGGGGAGCATTTGCTGAGAAGATGATTAAATTGGGCTGGTAAAAAGCTCGTCGGCTCCATAGCTTCCATCTTTTCCTGCTTCTTTGCAAGAACATTTGTACTTTTTTCTGGCCTGCGGCATGCAAGGTCAGCTGCTTTCTTTGCAGTTTTCTTGTACGTTTCCTCACCATTGTTGTGGGGTTTTTCCCCCTCCAGAGAATCTCTTTTGTGCAAAGGCGAGAGACAAGGCTCCTAGCTCAGCCTGCTGTGTTGTTGTTCGCCTGAAGTCCAGCAGGAATTCAAGGAATGGTTCCCCACGTCTCCTATTCACCTTGCTCCTGCCAGTGGCAAGGGGTCGGGCAGGGGGCGGATATTTTGGGGAAGCTGTGAGCAAGGAGTGCAGACTCAGGGGCTGATGTGAGCTCAGGGATTTTGGAGGGCTGAAACTCATCTGCTGTTGCCTGCCAGTAGTTCAGTGTAGGAATTTGGGCATTTTCCTTTGAACAAATGATTCACCAGTAATCATTTAATCAGCTCTCCCGGTGTTTGAATAATCTGTGAGTAATTTAGTCAGATGTTTGCCACAGAGTATCAAATAAATGGTTTGGAAAGACACTGGCTCAGACTCCCACCTCGTATATGCACAGCTATGGGGTAAACCAGGCCAGTGCTGTCCCCTGAGCTTTGGCCTTAGGTGCCCAAGAGATTTACAACGGGCCAGGACCAGCCTCAAACTGGCCAGTTCAGGATCTGACCATGGCTCAGCTGCACTGTATTTTTGCCATGCAGCTGTGAAGCATCTGCTCTCCTGCTTGGGATACCACTGCTGCTGGAGGCTGGGGGTGGCATGCAATGCAGTGGAGTGGCATATTTGGTGATAAGTGTCCTGGCTGGAAATCAGTGTACAGGATTGTGATGAGCCCCTTGCTTGCTCTGAGTGGCTCCCTCTGGGGTGCTGTGGATGGGGAAAGCAGCCCAGGGTGATGGACCGATGCTGGCTCACAAGCTAATGGAGAATCATTTCCCCAGGTTCAGCTCTCTTCCTGGACCTATTAAAAGCTCCAGTATCTTTCCATTCCTGTCCCCACAAAACCACCTGCTCTCCTGACACACTTCCCAATGGCATCAGAGAGCTGCTGCTTCTCACAGAGCTTTGACTCCTTTTTCAGCTCTGATCCTGGCTGACAGCAGGGAGGGGTGGAGAGAGAGAGTGAGGGGTTGGCATATTTTTTCCTTTTCTTCCATTTTGTGACTACTTAAATCCAATCCCAACTTTCTGGGCAGCAGGGTCACTCCCCAGCTCTGCTGCATGCTGTTGAAAGTCCTTGGAGAAATCTGCTTTTGACTTTTAGTTTTCCCTCCTCATTTTTTTTTTCTGTGTCTTTTTAATTTTTTTTTCCCTAGGATCTGCTATCACAGATTCCCCCAGAGTCCCAAATGCTGGTTATTCTTCATGGATAAAATTACTAACAATAATAATTTATTGTGCACTTTCATCTGAAACAAAACATCATTATTTCCCTCCAATTAATAGTGTCTTTTAGCAGCATCAGTGAAAGACTAGACAAAATCTGGCTCCCACCCAGCCCCCTTCCTCTGCCTGTGTGACACTGTCTCCACAACTGCAAAGAGAGGTGGTAGCTTTGATTTGATCAACACTTATCTAGTTAAAACAAAAGAGAACTGCTTTTGTAGTCTTGCCCAAATATTAGGGTTTTGGGTTTTTCTTTAACAGGAAGATCAGGAAGAAAGCTCTGTTGTTTTGTTACTACTGTTGTTTTCTTCAGACCAGGAGGAGTCCTGGGATGCCAGGGAAAGTGGGAACCTGCCAATGGGAGTACTTCTCTCAAGTCTCTCTGCAGAGTTTTCTCGCATGTGTTGTTTCCTGAGTCACGGGGATTTGAGCTGGGAACGCTCGGATATCTGGAAGCTGGAACAGCCCTTACTGCTGACCTAAATGCTGATGTCCAGGGAGCAGCACCCCTGCCACAGTCACTAGGCTGGAGATAAGGGCAGAGGATGTGCATAACGGGATTCAGGGCTCTGCAGGGCTCCCCAAAATCCCCTGCAGGCACTGCTCCCTGTCCCTTGCTGGCAGCTAGCCCCTGGCAGGGAGTAGGCTGTTTCTTCATGGGCATTTATCTTTTCCAGGCTGGGAAAACAGAGGTATTTTTCTGCACACTGGCAGCCAAGTGGGGGATGTGGCTGGGAAAGGCTATTTCCCCCAGGCCTCCTGCTCCATGGCATTCCCCAGCCAGTGCCACCAGGGCGCCAGTCAGCCTTTCCCCAAATCCTACCCACGAGGTGTTTGCTGTTGCCTGGGCAGTTGGCAGGAGGCAGGGGTGGATGGCCTGCAAGGGTGCCTTCCCCTCGGCCTCCTGCCCACCCTGCCCTTCCTTGCCCTGAGGCTGCTTGGCTGTCCTTGCTCACCCTCCCCATTGGCTCCTGCCTGCTTGGCCTCACTGCTGCTTTAATTTTAGCAATTCCTTGGAAAGAGTCATTTTCCATAACTCAGCTCTCAGCGGAGCCCTCTGCCTGCCAGCTCTGCCTTCTCACACGTGTTGCTGGCGTGCCCCAGCAGCACACGCCTGCACCTGCCCGGCCAGGCCTGCCTGTCCCAGCCTCTTGCACACCAAAGCCTCACACCCGGCTCCCGTCCCCGCTTGGCACACTTCAGCCTGGCACTCCCAACTCTGTTGTGTTGTGGCTGGAGTGGGCAACCTGGCCCAGCTGTATGGCCACCCCTGGAGCTTCCCCCTCATCAGGAGTAACTGAGCACAGCACAGGGAGACATCTGTCCTTTTTGCCCTGCAGACCCCACCCATACGTGTGACAGCTCTCTGTCCTTATCTGTGATGAGGAATGTGGTGTTTCCACATGCTGCAGGGGACCCCACAGCCTGGGGTTGTGATGGATGGGCAGGGTGGGCTTGTTCAGCACCACCGGCAGGTTTTATTGAAGCAGAGAAGGTGGGTGCAGGTGTGGCTGAATGGCTGTGCGAGAGGGAGCACAGCCCACACGTGTGGTGGGTGTTTGGTTGTGCAGTGTGTGTGAGAGGGGTGAGAGGCTTTCACGACAGTGTGCATCTTCCTGTGGGCACCCCAAGCTTACAGACACTAAACTGGGCACTCCAGGAGGGTGTTGGTGTGAGGGAGCACGGCACTCACGAGTGGGGCTTGTGCAAGGATGCGCACGGAGATGGAAGCGTGGCTCCCTCTCTTGGGTCTGCATCTCGTGGTGGAGGGAAGGGACAGTGCGTGTGGAGGGTGCATTGTGCACGACCGTGTGCGTGCGTGTGCACAGGGCACGCGTGAGGTGACCACGACCCTGCTGCTTCCACTCTGGGGAGGGTGGGGAGACTTGCAGGGACTGCTGCTGGTGATGTATGCGTGTGTGCGTGTGTGCGTGTGTGTGCGGGGCGCCGTCCCCGCGGTGCTTCCACGAGTGTGCAATCGCACGGGGGTCGGTGGGGCGCGCGTGTGCGCGGTGCCTCCCTCCGGCTCAGCATCCGTGGGGAGGGAGGAGGCGGCGGCGGCGTGTCCGCAGGGGCGTGGACCAGCGTGTGGCTGTGGGGGGTGCGTGTGTGGGTGTGCGTGCGTGTGTTTGTGTTTGTGAGCCTGTGTGTGTGTGTGTGTGCGTGTGTGGTTGCGGGCGGGTGCGCGCGGCGCGGCGGGGCCGGGAGCGCGTCCCCGGCGCTGTGCCGGGGGGTGCGGGCTGAGCTCATCGCTGGCTCCCCGGCGCTCCTTACCAGTGGCTTCTGCGGTCACATGGGTTATGTGCTGGAGTTTAAAAGAGCTTATAGCCCCCGAGCCGGTGCAGAAGCAGCCGGTGGTTGCATGGGGTAGCGCCGGGAGCGGCGGCAAGGAAGGCGCCGTGAGTACCGGGCGGCCGGGGCCGGAGGGCGGCACGGGATGTACCCCCACCCACGGGACGGGGGAGGCGGCGTGCGGGCACGGGGGTCAGCGGAGGCGAGCCGTGGGGCCCGCCGCCGAGGGAGGCGGAAAGGAAGGCGGGGGGGAACGCTTTCTTCCCCCGCATTCGCTCCCGGTCTTGTGTTCCCTCCCGCCCCGCAGCCGCGCACCTTTCCAGCGCCCGCGTGTGTCCGCTCCCCGACGTGGGCCGCGCGTCCACCCCCCCGGGAGGATCCAATTTGGGCAGCTTACTTTCCTGCCCCGCCGTGCGCGTGTTCCCGGCGGGAGAGATGGGGGGCAAGGGGACGGCGCGTCCCCGCACCCTCCGAGACAGCGGGTCCGCATCGGGGCGCGGCGGCGGGACCCCCGTCCCCTGCCCGGTGGGACCCCCGTCCCCTGCCCGGCGGGACCCCCGTCTCCTGCCCGGTGGAACCCCTGTCCTCTGCCCGGTGGGACCCCCGTCTCCTGCCCGGCCGGGAGGGCATAGCGGCCGGCACCAGGTTGAGGGCTGGGAGGGATGAGTTCTCCCTGCGGCAGTGCACGGGGCTGGAGCGGCTGGAACTGCGGGGCGGCTCTTTGTAAACCGGAGTCCGTGGATTTCCTGGGCGGGAGAGCAGTCTTCTTCGTCTCTTCAAAGGCGCAACCTGCCTTCTTTCCTGTTGTGGCAGTGCAGATTTTATTTTTTTCTTTTTTTTTTTTTTTTCCTTGTTTTTAATTTTTTTTTTTTTTCTGAAGTGTGATTTTATAAGAAAAGTGTCTGCATGGTGCTTCTGGGGAACTGCTCTCCCTGGGCTAGGCAGACAGTTCATCCCGAGCGTGAGTACAACGGCTGCTTTCCAGAATTGCATAATACACACCGATCCCTATGCTGCTCAAAACTCCCTGACATTTCCACATCTTGGTGACTTCCCCCACTGCAATCCTGAAAACGAGTTGTGACTCCAGTCAGCTCGTGAGCCAATTTGTGGTGTCTTCACTGAGGACAGAACCAGGTCTGCATGTTCCAGCTTTCCTGGCTCCTCTGGCAGTTGTTTCTTTAACCACTAAACTTTTTTTTGGTATAACGATCGGCACTTCTTTACTCTCTTAAGTTCCCCACCCCAAGTTTACGGACACACGTGCAGGGTCTGTTCAGAGCACAGGTTACAGAAAGGGGATTGCCTGCAAAACTGTTCAGTTTCTTTTCCCCATCTCTTTGTGTTTTAATTTGTGGGATGGTTGAGGAGGTCCTTTCCTCGGATTGCTTTTTTTCGGAAACTTGCTGACGTCTCCTCAGATTTAGTGAATTTCACTGACTGTGCCCCCTCTCAGCACACCACGTTGTGTACTTGTGTGAGGGACAGGACCTGCACATGCTGCTGCTAGTCCCACTGGCTGTGTGTTCAGGCAGCGAGGCACTGATATTGGCTGCTTTCTGCAAAATGTGCAAATATGTGGGAGCAGCCGTTCTTGCTCCCAGATCCCTGCCTTGCCCCTCCGTGAGGAGTTAGAGCTTTGCTGTGATGTCTGGAGACGTGCAAGGGATGCTCCTGTCTGGCCAGGCAGCACGCTGAGACCAGGTCCTGGGACCAGAACTCTCTGGGGCTCACTGCACCAGGAGGACTTTCCCAAGACAGGCTGAGCTTTAGAAATGAGAGCCTCTTGCCTGGCAGTCTTCCTTGTGACAGCTCCTCAAGATAAGTTTATCAGAGCCTCTTGTCAGAGCAAGCCAAGCCATGATCTAATGACTGTACATTATCTTTGGTCTGATTTACCCCAAGAGGACCCCATTGTGCCAGGACTCTGCATCCCCTTTCCCCTGAAAGGTGTTCAGCAGCTTCTGGACTTGGGAAAAGCCCTGATACCTCTCAGAGCCACAAAGCTTGTGGTGCACACACACACTCAAATAACTGTGAAGCTAAGGCTTAGCTTTTTGGAGACGTGACTGACTCTCTGAAGCCGGCAGCAGGAGTTTTGTGGGTGCAAGCCCCAGCTCCTGGCCACTCTCATTTAATTCCCTGCAAGCTGGAGACATGCATCCTGCTCCAGCTCAGTCTGGGGCTGGGTGTGCGCCTGGGGAGCCTGTCTCTCAGCTCTGTCGTTTATTACTGCTGCCGCTGCCATTATGCCTGACAAATGAGAGTTGCTGAGTAATGTGCTGTTTGTGTGTAAATATCTGAGTGCTCGCAGCTGAGCTCACTCCTGCCACTTTGCAGGAAGCCATCTCAGCACCTTTCCCCTGTGAAGACCCAGGAGTGCAAAAGCATCCTTCTGCGGGGACCTTCCCACCGCTACGGCCAGCTCTAGCCTTCGCTCTCCACTGCTCCCCTGCAAGCGTGAAGCCTCCATCCTCTCCAGCTATCGTGGCAGCCCTTCTGCTTTCCTGAGTGTGAGTCAGGGGTGGGAAAGGGCTGTGTGTGTGTGTGTGTGTGTGTGTGTGTGTGTGTGTGTGTACAGGCTCTCTTGCTCCCCGGGGTCCTTGCCCGAGGCAGAGTGAGTTCTGGGGACTTTGAGTGTCATGCATAACTAGGCAGGGAGTTTTCAGGTTGGTTTGGGTTTTTTCCCTGTCTACTCAGCCCTGAGTTCCCCCTCATTTCATCCCAGTACTGATGAAGATGCTAAATTACTCTTGCCCATATTGTTTTCATCCCATTTGCAGATTAGCATCCAACTGCTTCTTGCAGTCAGCACTTGCTCAGCCCAGCTAGGCTGATCGCAGCTTTTTTAATCTCCCCTTGTAAATCAATCCCTCCTGCCTCCTGATAATTTTTGTCGCTCATTTTTCTGAAATCCCTCCAATTTGTCCATTTTGTGTTAGTGACGTATGCCTGGCCCTAAACATGATGTATACCAGGCATGGCAGTGTGAGGGAAGGACACCTCCTCCCCTCCCACCCCGCTGGGGCTTGTGATGCTTTGTCAGCACTGAACTGAGTTACTTCCCCATTATTCTAAGCTATAGTCCCTGCTCGGTGTTGCAGAAGAAAGCAGCATACTCAGGTCAGTGCCCTGGGGAGAATTCCTCCAAATTTTGGTGATGGGTTACTGAGGTTTGGTTGCATGCTGGTATGAGATGCTGGAAGGGGCCGGTGGTCTAGGTGCATTCCTGGGGTGCCTCTTCCCACAAGAACTAACAGCTGAACAGGAGGGATGAGGAAAATAAGAGAGGGTAAGCTGGGCAGATGGGGAAACTGAGGCACGTGCATGCACATTTCCTATGCACCTTTCCAGCACACAGCTCTTGTTTAGGTGCTCTGTGTGTGGGGTGTGGTTGCACTCGTTAGTGTTGCAGCTGGCACGGGCATTTTCCGAGGAGTTGCTGGATCTTTGGTCAGAGCAGGCTGGCACATGGGGATGCTGGGTTCTGTGTTGATTTTGTTCCTTGTTTCTCATGCCCGTAGCCAGAGCCTGATGCCACAGGTGCTCTCATGGGGAAGAAACAGGGTAACAAAGTGCCTTGCATTCGTGCACTTTGAAGTTTTATCATGCCAAACCCTAAGCTCCTAGGACGGAGCATGAGCATTCCCTGGAAGGGCCGTGCCCTTCCAGGATCCGTCTATTTTTAGGAGGAGTTGTATTCTGGACAGTGTCCACTGCAGATGCTCTCTGCCTCCTCCTCTTGGCCCTCCTCCAGGGACACCGTTCGGGCTATCTGCGGCAGGGCCCGATCTTGCGGGGGCTCCTCCAGAGCAGAGCGGAGGTGGCTCCGTGCTGGGCATGGGGACGCCTGGTGGGCTGTGGCTACCCCGGGGTGCTGGGGAAGGACAGCGAGCTCACGCTGTCCCTTGCATGAACTGTTGGGAATGGCGTTTTGCTGTGCTCTCGGTGCCAGCGGGACACGGCGGCTTCTTCACGGCGGGATAAGCAAGGGTGCCGCCCGGGCCAGGTGGTACCCGGTGCTTGGCGGCTCCCGGTGTCGGTCCGTTCGCCAGGATGACACTAGGGGGCACGAGATCTGCTGGAATTCCTTTGTTGGGGATGGGAAAGGAGGATGCAAAGCTGCTCTTGACCCTTCAAGCCCCGTACATCATTCCCCCGCGCGTTCTGTAGGATTACGAGTGTTAAACCCCACGAGCTGTCCCGGTGACTCGTCCCGCTGCCAGGGCAGGACGCAGCTCTCTCCTGGGTCTGTCCCTCACTGGCCGTGGAAGCAGCAGGAGTAGGAATGGATGCGGTCAGCCGGAAACATCCCCGAAGCGAGGAGGTGGATGCAGCCGGAGTGCCAGGGAATCTCCGGGGAATCTGGGAAATCCAGGAAAACACCTTAGCATGGTTTTAATGCCTCTCTAGAGGCGTTGTCCAGAGCAGGGATTAAGTTAGATTCAGGGCTGGCTTTCAAGATGCAGCGTGTTATGGTTTCATTTTCTGCTGGTTGTTAAATTCATGCATGATGTCTCCTCAGGGTCATGTTTTCCCAAAGCAGCAGAAACTTTAGAGAGTCTGATTTAATGAATGGTTCTGATCGATCTGAAACATGGAGTGTGTGTGTGTGTGTGTATTATATATGTGTCCATCTACATATCTGGGTGGGGTGCAAAGGATTTGTTTTTGAAGGATATGTTTACGCATTTCTGCATACATCCAGCTGTAATATTGTCCTGAGTCCTTAAAATCTATTATTCCAGCTGTGAATGCATGTATATATATATATTAAAGCACTGTATACTGGAGTCTTTCTCTCTTGTTATAACAAACCTCACAGAAAGCAAATAAAGAGACATTGTTCTCATGGCAGGCTTTTAAGGGCTCAGTATTTATCTTCTATGAATTTTGATAGTTTTTGTTCAGCATGTTTGCAGTTATGATGGTGGTGGGGGGTTTGCCTATCTACTTCAAATCTTGTGCTGTTGGGAAACTGAAAACATTTGGATAATTTCAGCTTACTCATTAGGTAATGAAAGCAGAAGTCAAGCTTCTGGATTGAAATGTTGGCACTTGATATCATTCTGGCATATTAATTTCTCAATGGTTAGGGTTTTTTCTAATGCCTTCCGTTGCCAGATACCAGGCTCCTTTGCTGGAGCCGTGCTTCTCTCGCGAGCCCCCGGGCAATATTTTTAGTAGGACACTGATGCATCGCAAACACTCCTGTACTCCGAGAAAAAGCTTTGCTGGCTGTTGTTGGAAGTAGCACTAGCATGGGTAGAAAGGAGAGATCAGAGGAGGACGGGGCTGCCGCTGCCTCAGAGCGTTTGCTTTGTGCCTGTGATGGAGGTTCTGTGTCGGGTCGTGCAGGTGCGTGCCTGTGCGGATGTGAGGGCAATTCCCCAGCTGGGTTCTGAGACAGGACCGAGGAGCAGGGGTTTATTTATTTTGAACTGCCTTGTGAATTGGAAGGAGGTCCGGGAAGAAGTGCCGAGTCAACTTTCAAGTCAATTAGGGATGCGTCTGGAGGTGTGAAGTGGTTTGAAGAGGACAGGGTGATTTGTCTGAAAGTGTTACCTAATTAGAGGGTATAGTCAGGGCTCTAATTAGCCATGACACCCTAAAGATGTTATCAAAGCCCCCTTGAGGCATGGCTGATCCAGGGCCGGGGCTGTGAGCTGTCTGGTCGGTGTGGCCGTGCACGGCCAGAGCTGCCGCCCTCCGACTCAGAGGCAGCCCAGATGCTTGAAGAGGCTCTTTTCCTTTCAGGTGACTTGTGATACCCTCCGGGGCTGCTGCCAACACAGAGTGATGTTCATAAAGTCACAGAATGAAAGGAAAGCCTGCAGCAGTTGGAAGAATTAATACTGGTGCCCACTATGTGGGAAATCTCCTTTCTTTTCCCTGAGGGGGATCACTTTCTGCTGCTCTCCGCCTGGGGGAGGCTGGAGGAGGAGGGCTGTGAGGATTTGCATTAAGTGATGCTGTGCTAACAGCTGGTGGAGGAATCGTGACCCCGTTCTTAGCATTGCCTGACAGAGGGGACATGGGATCAACTGAAATCTGGCTTGCCCAGACCTGGTTGTATTTAAATACTATGCAACACACCCTGTGAGGGGGAACTGGTGCGGGGAGCAGTACAAGAAGTGCTGGGTAAGAGGGAAAGGCTCCTGCGAAGGCTTTTCCCTGATATTGGAAGGACCTTGCAGCCTGGACCACACCTGGGTGGTGGGTGGTTGTTTCCCTTTTGAGAGTGGGGCTGGGGGTTGCTCCCACTGGGGCTGCTCTCGCTGCCTGTTGTTCATCTATCAGAACCATTGTTCAGTCAGCCCTGTGAGGAGAGGAGAGTGGGAGTTGCCCATTCCCAGCAGTGGTGCCAAGAGCCAGTAGGAGCCACCTGAAGCCAGGGAGGTGGCTGGTGGATGAGCGTGGAGAGCAGGGCCCATTGCCATGCTCAGCAGCAGTGAGCAAAAGAATGCTCTCCTCTCTCAGGGCTGAGGTCCCCATGGCTGTCAGAGCTCTCTGAATTGCCGGGAGAGAGCAGTGGGTAGCTCAGACCTCCTTGGCAGGAGGGAGCTGCTGTTACTCCTGTGTCAATGGGAAATGAACTGGATCCTGGGGCGAGGATGTTCCCTGTGTTTTTCGTCAGTGCTATGAGGAGCCTGGCTCTGCAAAGGGAGTCTCTTTGCTTGTGTAGGTGGTATTGCAGTCCCCCAAATGCAAACACAACCAGGCACACTCCTGTGCTAACAGTCACCGAGGGATGCGCCTGCTTTTAATTATGTGGGTGTTAAGCCAGTGAATTCATTTTGTTCACAAAGTTGCAGCCTGGTGTTTTCCTACTGCTCCTGGTCTCTGGCATTCCCAGACTCTGGAGCACATGTGCAAATAACTTGGGGAGTGGGTCTGGTAACTTGGAGGACACAGGGCTGACCCAGGCAGCTCTCCCTGTGCTAGTGCCCTGGTGTCCCAGTGCTGCAGGGGCCACGCTGCATTTTAGGGTGCTGTGTTATAGGTGATGGGTGGGGGGCTGCTCCCTGTGCTGTGGCATCACAAGCTGATCAGCACAGAAGGAGGGCTCTGCACTGCTGCCCTCCTGCCTGGGGAACCAGCCTGGTTTGGGTACTTTGGTGCCAGGTACGAGATTTGGTTGTGAGTTCAAAGAGTATCATGTATAATAAAACAACCTTATCTCTGCTTTTGCTCTGGGTACACTCTGCACCACAGTCCTTTTGCCTAAGGCCTAAAAATGCTGGTGATAATGAGGACACATCCTTTCTTGTGGTTAGAGTGTGGTTTTCAGATGCAAAGGAGAGGCAGCCTGTGCTAGACTTCACCACCAATGTGTGATTTACCCTCCTCTGTGCCACTGAACTGAGGGCTTGAAAAATAAATATGTTAAAAGGAAGGAAAGACAACAAAAGGCTGCTGGTGCTCTGAAATTCGATCAAAAAAAGCTCTGTCCAGTCCTCTGGGCTTCTCACTTAACAAGAGCTCTAGAAATAATAGTGTTACAGTAAAGTGC